GGTTGCCTCAGCTTGCAGGCACGACATGAGCGATAACAACTCCTTTTGAACGAAGGAAGCTTCTGCATCATCGACTGGTTACACTCACTGATGAGAGTTCCTGCAAGATGATCCTCCCATGACAATGTGTACATGTTCATTCTTGCGCCACCACAATTCTCTTCATCTCTGATGGACAATGGTCACTTCAAGAGACGGATTAATATAGAGCTGCCTTTATCACGTGTTACAAATCTCATATCAACCCGAAGACAGTGTTTAGAGCATACCTTAGATTTGGAAATGACTCAGACACGACAAGCCGTTCACAATGATAATTCTAAACTCCCTACACGCTCATCCTACTATATTGTGAACGATCAACAGTACAACACAATGCAAACCCCTAGAATAACCGGTTGTTCCTTACTTTCGTTCTCCAATTTGTTTACATCTCGTCTGAGAACTAGCAGCATTCCGCCTGCATCTCTTCATGCACACGAAATGGGCCATCCTCACGATCAACGTCAAAGTCCTGGCCTAGAAGACATTGATTCTAATCAGGCTTGTTGCATTTGTTACAATGCGTACAACGCTCCCGGTAGCGGCAGAGGTCGCGAACAATCGGTGCAGCTCGCATGCGGCCATCGTTTTGGGACAAAGTGCATATCAAAGTGGATCAAAGCCAAGAGTACATGTCCGCTATGCAGAGCGCCGCAAGTTCGATTTGGTGATCACTGCTACAGCAAGGTCTTAAGGGAGCATATTCGACTGGATGTTGCCACGCCTCATGTTGAACGTACAGAGCCAGATCGTACATTCGCGACCATCTATTGGTGGGAGATGTCTGATGAGAGGCAGTCTTCCCCAAATATCGCGCCACAAAGTCATCCTGGTAGAACTTGCATAGCAAGGCCTGTGCAGAACCGACGTTTTGTCGGACGGTTGGGGACCAGGGCACTCTCTGCAGACCAAGAAGATGACATCTGGATCACAGAGTTTCACCACCGGGCATCAAGTACAGCCCACACTTCGCTTTCGGCATCGAAGAAGTCTAGTTTTCACAATTCCATGGGAGAAGCCGAAGATTCATCAAGCGACTTTGCATTGTGCACAGCTAAAGCATACTGAATGACTATAAGCACT